GATAGAGTCCATAATAAAAACATACAAAACAAAAGCACAGTCAAAAAATATTACATTTCCAAAAATATAATTTCTTAACACATGTTTTAGAGATACTTGTTGTTTTATAGAATAAACAAAAGTAAAATAAAAACAGACAATAAAACAATAACACTTCAGGACATTAAGTGATGTCTCCGAATCTTTTTAAAAGATCATTTGCTATGAGTGCAGCAGATGTATTGAGGTAGATTATTCCAAAAACACAATGATCTATATATAAATGATCCCTTTACAGCATTGCTCTTGGGTCCTGGTTAAACAAGCTGTCCATTACTGGAACCTCTAGTGTTGTGATCATGAACAGAGTTACTAAAAACAATTTGTGAATGTATAAAAGCTGGAACATTACTAGTCATGACTGACTTAAAGAGGATAAGTGTATTAAAAAGCAGCTTATTCTTCACTATAAGCCAGGAAGGTCAGCCATGCATCTGGCTGACATTAGATCTAATGGAGCAGCTCAGTGCCAACCGTGCTGCCTTGTTCTGAGCAACCTGGAGCTTTTTGTGTTCACCCCTGATAGCAGATGTTCACACTGGAGCACAATAGTCAAGATGACATAAGACCAGACTCTAAACTATTTGATATAAAAGGGGACGGGCCACAAAAGTGCAGTATTTCCTTGCACTACTAATTGCTATCCCCATTTTCAGAATAATATGATTAATTTGGTGAATCTGATTGAAAAGAAGAATCTTTTATTGTTACAGATTGGTGACATTTATCAAAGCTTCATATTCAGACCAGTTGAAATGCTGCAGCTCCCTAGTTTTCCATGTACTCATCATAAGATGGCATCAATCTACAAAAATGTGTCTCCACTTTAAGCAGTCTGAGTCTTCTTTGATTTGAGTTTATGTTTGCTGTTAGAAGTTGATGTTTTGGTTTCTAACTTTAAAATTGTCTTTACAGGAGAACAAATGGACTGAAAAACACATTGCAGAACTGCAGATGATATGTAAGTACCCTTCAGAAGATGCACAAGTCATAGGCAAGATCTACTGTGTTGATTTAATCACAGTAGAGATCAAACTATAGGGAGTCTGATGTTAAATTTGCCGAGACGCATCCAATGTGGAAGAACGTGCTTTGGTAAAAAGAAATCAATTCCAAACTTTATGGCCTGCATTGAAAACTGTTTCATAATCTGCCCATCTAATAATCCTTCAGAGATAAGGAAGATTTTTTTCTGAGTTTTAGATAAACCTTATAGATTTTTATTTATTTAAAAAAAGGAACTACATAACACTTAATTTTCACTTCACAATGGTGAGCTAAACTTTCGTTGCACTGTCTTATAGTAAAAACAGAAGTTTTCCAGAAACTCTAGACAAAGGGTGACTTTGTCAGACATGGGATGTGAAGCCTGTAAAGTGGCTTGTTTTGATTAGAATGATTAAGGATTTGTCAGGAAATATGAGTCGTTCTTAGAGCCATACTTAGAAACCTGTCGTAAAATCTTTATTGGTGTTTGGCGAAAAAACAGACGGACAAATGTCTTATCCTTGTAGTTGGTTGGTATTTTACCCCTCTGTTGTTTTCTTGTGACTTTTTGCTCATAAATGTCGTTTTTGGATTAGCCAAATGATTGGCAGTTCAAGATCAAGGCCAAGCCTTTTATTTGACAAAAAGAAAAACAACCTAAAGGTAAATAAATAGTATTGTCACACCACATTTTTTCTAACCGGGTTCACAAAAATTCATAGGAACAGAACATTATGTGGTCTGAATTAAACCTCATTACTGCAGCCATTTCTTTCATTTAATTGATGCGCTAAAATTAACACTAATTAGTAACGTGTGTTTCATTTTCTTGTAGATGTTGCTGAGAATCCTGACCAGGATATGTGGCACACCTACCAACTTGTGGATCCTGATGGTGGGAATCCAAACAACCATATTCTTCTTCCACCTTCAAAACACTGAGACCCAGTAGTTATGCTTGAATTATTTTGCACCTTTTCAGTGAGATTTAACCCTTTCCCATCTCTTTTCCCCATTTTATAGATGATGCTCGCTCTGTAGATCTAATCCAGTTTAAGGAGCAATTCAAATCCCATTTCCGTGAAGTCCAAAGAAACGTAAGCTTAATAACAATTTGCATGTGGGTTTTTACACATTATGAAACATTAATGATTTCTTTTGCATTCGATCAAAGGTGTTTGTTAAAATTAGGAAGCACACAGATGAAGCTGTTTGGATCCGGATCGCCTGGGGAGAGGGCTTATCTCCACCAAACAATCTGAGAGCCTCATATGTTGTCCATCATCTTCAGACTCCTTTTGTTTATGTGAGCAGTCTGTCATCAAAGCATAAGCCTCTGCTATTGCAGGTAAGAGAAAAAAAATCTATGTTTAAGTATTTGTTATATTTGTATTTTGTGTGTGTGTGTGTCTGTGTTGCATGTTTCTACCTTCTAAGATTGGCTTTTGCTGCAGGCCTTGGCTTTTTCCACGAGACATAGAGGAATTAAGGATGCTAACCTAAGTGGACGGAAACTGACTGCCCTCAGGGACCTGCTGATGAGGCAATACCAGCATGTAAGTCACCCTCCTGTACCAAAATACTCCACTAGCCACCAATGTAATTTTATTCCAGTGTTTTACTGTTTGAAGGTAAATTGAATTGTTTTTTCTCTTTCAAATTTACAATTCTCTTAAAGATATAACTGACTGAACCTTTTCTTTTTTTTTTTTTTGCTCAGGTGTTTACAACAAAGTTCCCCAGCCCTCTCAAAGAGCAGAATCAAAGCCCCTTAAGTATGCTCAGTAGAATTATCTGATCTATTTATGTTGGGTATCCTGTTTTCTTTAACATCGTTTGGTTTTTGTGCTTGACTCTCTGCCAGTCGAAAAAGAGCAATCTGGGCCATCAGCAAAAAGACATCGAATGGCAATAGAAGCCTTCGGTGAAGGGGCGTTACCTGCAATACAGACTGCAGTCTATAAGGTAAACTACTCACTTATTGAATACAAGTGATTTAGGTTATGGTTCAACACATAGTTTTCAACAGAATTGCGTCTCTTTAATATTTGTATATTTTCTTTAAGCTGGAAACCAAATTCAAAGACCCCACTAATGAAACCATGACTGAGCGGGATGAGCCATTTAGATGTGCTGTTAAATTTACGAGCACCAACCTCCTGGAGTCACTCAGATCCTGTGCATCCTCAGGTACTAAAAAGCATTTGCCACAGCCGTAAAGGAAATGGTACATTCGAAAGCACAGGATTTTATTATGCATTTTATAATGAACCTTTCTCAACAATTGCAGTTCTCTAAGTGTCCACACGAGGGCACACTTGATATAGAAATCATCATGATTACTCCAACAAAATTAGCAATTTCCTTTCACTCCTACTGGGCTGCATACTCAGATCATTTTTAGAAACTGAGTGTATTTTAAAAAGAAAAGAGGTTCTGTTTTGCAATTTTCCCGTTTTGGCTTATTCCTACTGTTATTGTTTTTTTTTTTCACTTTGCAGGAATTGCCTCAACCCCCCTCACTCCCTTGCTGTCATCTATTCCCCTTAAAGGAAGAAATTATTTTGTCATCACAGATAATGCTCCCAGCGCCTGCTCACAAATGTCCCAGACAAAGAACTGATTTACAGTTTGGCCCCTCACTCTAACCTTTGTTCAGTCCTGTTCAGTCAAACTGACTTGCAGATAACAGCTTATCCATAGCAAAGGTTTAAGGTAAACCTCACCATTTGATATATCTCTTTTTCAAAACATCAATGGAATCTGTGTTATTAAAGCCAGTGTCTAACTTGTCCCTCTATGTGAGCCAAGGATTAAAGAGTGGACGGTTAGTTATGGTTCCATAGAAATTTTGTTTTCTTTTTGTAAAATAATTGTACAATTATTGTCTTAAACCTTTAAATAAAGTTTAATTTTATTTTACCTTGTGTTTACTTTATCCCTAACACTGCAGTAAGTTGTTTTAGATACAATTTTACATTTATTTGTGTTTAGGTCTAATTAAAAGTGACAGTTAACCCTTCAAAGCCCGATCCAAGGATAAAACAAAACAGAAAATTACTTTTTTTGGTTTGAAGTACTTATTTGGCCTTTTAACAAAATATGTAAAAAGAAAAAACAGAAATACATTTTTGATATTAATAATTTATTACTATGCGATAAGTCAAGATTATTGTTTGTGTAGTCTTCTGCCCTCTGTTATCAGGTATATCTGATTGTGTACAATAGGATTTTGAGCAAAGTTTTTACCATTAAATTATGCAAAAGGTGTCAGACGCAAAACATTTCAGAAACCGTATGTATCAAATATGATACATTTGGCATTACAGGGTTAAGAGAAGAAAAAAAATTCTGCTTCTGGCTAGTATTGCAACAATATTAGCCTGCAAATATATAAATACATCTTGAGAAAAGGATTCTGTATTAGTTAAAAATTGTATATTGATCTCCATTAACTTAAATTTCCACAAAAAATGTATAATTCAAATGAAGACAATGCTTATAATTCATGCAAATTGTAATTGTTTCAGTCACTTCCTTTGTGAAGGTGAACGGCACTAGATAAAGCTTAATGTTACAGCAGTTGCATGTAAGCTTGTTCATATAAACTGCTGAACTTTATTTGGCTGAAAAAAATAAATTGTTCGGATTATGAAAGTTACGTTTTGTTTTTGTAATCATGCAAAAAAAAAAAATTAGTGCATAGAAAAGTATCTAAAGGAAGAAAAAGATAAATCAACTGCATAAGCTAATGCACCTGTTTTGTATTTTGTTTTTAATAAAAAAAAATGTTATTATAAAAAGAAGCTCATGCACTGTTGAATTTCAAAAGGGGTTGCTTTGAACAAAGGTTTCCTTTCTAAAAAGTATATTTCCTTTTTTTAATATATATTTTTTCCTCTGTTTAAGACCGAACATAACGGAAGTTGTGTCGTCTCGGACGTGACGTACTCCAACGTCACTACGGAAGTAAGCTGATTGGTGAAGATGCCTTTCAGTCAATGCCGGGGGTTAGATTTCCCCACGTTACGCTCCCTTTCAGTCCAAGCGGAGGGACCCTATGCCCCTGTTCATTCAATACGCCTGGTTTAGGGTGGGGAGGGGGCTGTCAACATAGAAACATGGCCGCCTCTACAACGGCTAAGGCAAAAGGCAGGCAGAACTCGAAGTCAGGCGATGTGAAACGCTGTGAGGAGTCAATGTCGCAATGTCGGGAGATAATAAAGCCCACCATTATCGAGCTGACCAAAGAAGTTCGGACGAACATCCTCTGCACCGTAGAAGGATGTGGCAAGATCCTCCCCAACACACCTGCATTAAACATGCATCTGGTAAAGTCGCACCGAATAAACGTAAGTAAAGGTAAACCTGCTAACTCGGCTGGTTTTAACATGGAAGTACAGCCCATGCTAATTTGGCTAAGTAGTGATGAAGAACGCCCTAAAATTAGAAAACGCAAGTCATCCAATTAGCAAACACAGAAGATAACCCACAGGGTGTGCAATATTTGATCAGTTTCATAAAGAAATGTTTATTCATATGTTTTTTTTTTTCAGGTGGGTTTATACTAGCTGCATGTGGTGGGTTGTGGTCTTTCTAGGCAATAATAAAGAAGATTCCTATATTAACTCCTAAACTACAGATCTAGGTTATATGAGCCTGTTTGGTGCCATCTATACTATTTTAAAAGTGATTCTATATCATAATGATCTATATCTTCGCCCAGTAACACTCCTGCTTTGTTGCTTGAGCTGTTTGTTTATTTAAAGCCCTTAATATGCTCAGTGTGATATCCTTCTTATTCTGTCATCTGTTTGCTTTTAAGAACAGATGAAAAAATGAGGCAATCTTTCATCTGTGTGCTGAAGATTTTGTTACATTATGCATTTTATTAGTTGGGAGGTTTAAAATATTTACCAGTCACGTGGGAGCTGGTTTATTCCAATCTATGGTTGATTAAAATACTGATATTGAGGTTTTTATTTGATAACGATAACATCATATTGTGTAACAACGGTGATCATGGCCCTTTACTCTCCCAACCAACATGGCTGTCTGCTACTGCACAAAGATCTATTTAAGACATGGATGCATTTGTTGTGGATGAGCTGCACTGACCTGCTCAGACTCCTGACCTTAACCCAGATGAACACTTTTGGGATTGATTCAAAGCCAGACTGAGAGCCATGCCTTCTTGTCCAGTGTTGGTCTGTGACATCACGACTGTGCATGGAGAGTAATGGATAAATTATCCCATCAACATTAAATCATGTGTACAGACTTCCTAGAAGTATTGAAGCTGCTGCAGCTTCGAAGCTTAGTTTAAAGTCACACAGAACCCTAATGGGATGTCACTTAGGTTCAAATGTAAGTCAGGGAAGGAGAGCAAATACTTTATGGGAATAAGATGTTTTCTCTCAACCAGGAAATGTGTCATTTGCAGCCAGAAACGAACAGATCTTCCAAATTTCAAGTAGGACAATGTAGTATTGTGAGGGTATAATGTTAGTGGGGGGAAAAAGAATTGTATTCTTCCTTTTTTATAGTAACATAAATACAATTTGAGGAATTATTTATATCCTTCTGGTGCTGCAACTAACAATTTTTCATATCTGTCGATTATTTTTAGGTTCTTTAAAGAAGATTTTGTTAATGAAATTAAACCAAGTGAAACTAAAACTTTTCCACTTCAGGACTTCTGGATAGATTATACACTGCAAAAACAATCTAGAAATAAGTAAAAAAAAAAATTAAATCAAGTGTATTTACTCTTAATTTGAGTAGGTAAATAAGATGATTTGCCAATGGAATTAGATTTTTTTAATCTTAAAATAAGATAATTAGATCATAAGTACTTGAAATGAGGCAATACAATAGTTTTTTTTTTATTTTAAATGTAAATTGTCTTGCTCCATTGACAAAGTGTTATTTAATTCCTCAATTCAAGAAAAAATGCACTTATTAAAAAAAAAAAACAGTGTATTGACAGAAGAAAGTCGTTTTTTTTTTATCTTAAATGCAAAATGTTTATATTTTGACAATATTTGTATAGTTAGTAGTCTAAGTGGATTGCTTTGTCAGCTAAAGGTATGTTTTAGAGTCTCTATACTTGAGTTAATGATTAATTGATTAAATTATCCATCCATCCGTTTTCCATCACACTTATCCCTGCTGGTGTCTTATCTCCAGCTGTCTATGGCCGATTTATTTCACCTGTGTTGTCCATCGCAGGACAACACAGAGACAAATTACCATTCACACACACACTCACAGCTAAGGAGAATGTAGAGAATCCAATTAACCTAACAGTCACGTTTTTTGGACTGTGGAAGGAAGCCTGAGTACCTGGAGAGAACCAACGCATGCTCAGGGAGAACATGCAAGCTCCATGTAGAAAGACACTGGGCCAGGAATCGAACCTAAGGAGCATTGCTACCCACTGCCTCACTGTGCAGCCCCGATGACTAAATGAGTTGATGATTATTTAAATTATCGATTAATCCGATTGTTTCAGCCCCATACCCTTCTCCATTATCAACAGATAAAGATGTTTTTTTGCCCCAACATTCAAATAGAACAGAAGTTTTTCACATGTCCCAACAATCTATGTTAAAGAACAGAATACAAAGATGCATAATCTACCTTTTTCTTTTTTGGAAGGATTAGTTTTTACAGAGCCTAACTAACGTCCAGTAAACATTTTTTAAGGTTTATCTTTTATAAATGGGTAAATTTAAGTTAAATCCGAGACAGTTGCAGCTTTTGGCTTGCAGTCAGGCTGTTTCCCCTGTCCTTGCTGAATCAGACCTTCCTGTAGCAGGCTGTAAATTCACTGTCACCCCCTCCATGAATGAGCTTCTCCTTTGGCTATGGCTGCCTTTTGTCCCACAACAGACTAAGCTCTGTGTCTAAAACAGGTGAATCAGAGAATTTGAATGAGCTGTTAGTCGTGGATGCATGCAGGCTGAGGAAGTTTTAAAGAACCAGTAAACTCCCTGGATTTGGAATAAAGGGTTTAAGCCCTATATATACAAGTGACCGTGAACATCACAGTGTTTATAGCTTGGGTAAAAAACATCAGCTCAACTTTATTTAGGCAATGCTCTGTTCCTGTTTATCATAATCCTTTTACTTAGCCTCACTTTCGGTAATATATCTACAATGCCGCTCTAAGCAGAAAATAACTGACATTTGATTCGAGTGGAGTGAGAAGATCAATTCTCTGCTTTATATATATATATATACATAGATATATCTATAGATAGATATATAGATACCGCAGGTTCTCAGTGTGCACTTCTTGTTTCTTACAATTAATGATTTGATGCTCCAGGACTGAATCATGAAGTTGGACACTACATTGCTTTATTTTAAGAATGTTTTAACTCCCCTAGAATTCACTTCATTACTGTAGCACTAACTTATTCTTCTGTTGCTCATTGTTAAGTTTCTGAAGTGAACTCTGATTGCAGAATGGACATATTTTATTTCTGATTGTCTAAAATCTGATTATAGTATCTTTTCCTGGGCCTAAAGATACTGCTTTGATTTGACCTGACTCTGATAACCTAAATAGCCTCAAGCTGCAGTAGATTTTCACTGCCTCAGTTTCTCATTGGAAACAAAGGATCTCTGTTACATTTTGTTGTTGTTGTTGATGAGCTCTATAGAAAAGACAATAAATCTGGGCCAAGTGATGTAGCCGCATGCTGATGGTCAACAATTTAACATTTAGTGAAACAAACTGTTTGTCTTATGGTTGTCTTGCTTGCTTCCTTCTCCCTGATTAAGCAGAGGATCCTTTAATAATTATCCTTGTGACGGCTGTGTTGTCTGTTTCCAGTGGGTTATATTTACTCAGTGGAAAAGCTGGTTCCTAATGATATGAATTGGTTCATTAATTTAGTTAGAGAAATCATAAATGTCAAAAAATGGAATACCGTAGAATTAATTTTTTTACATGTGGCACTTAAAATGTTTCAGGTTTTTTTATTCATTGATTAGTTTTAAATTTTCTTTTAGAGCTAGAAAAACATTTACAGCTGTCTCTTTTTCAATTAAATGGTACCTTACATTTATGGACAAAACTATCCTTTCTCCAAATCTTAAATGTCTTTTTTTCTACTGACTCTTGTTTTTTGTGGTTTAATCGGAATGTTGAATTTTGGACAGAGAAGACAGCCACAATTTATGAATTTATGAATTAACCAAAAAATGGCCCTCAGTTTGACAGTTTGTGCTTCCTTTCAACACAAATATGTTATTACAGCAAAGAAATGATCAAATGTTGATTTCTTACTTTTAGTTTGTGTCAATTGAGTTCGGACTAGTTTTAGCCTTGAAATGCAGCTCTTTGATGTCTTTTAACTTTTTGCTCTTGTTGTTCCTTCAGGATGGAATCGTCAACCCTACAGTCAGAAAGGAGATTAAGGGCTCACAAAAACTTTACTGCTGTCCCGTCGAGGGCTGTCCCAGGGGCCCCAACAGACCTTTCTCACAGTTCTCCCTGGTTAAGCAAGTGAGAGCTCTCTTCATATAATGGCTTCTTTTTTTACCGGATCGACAACTATCTTAACCTGTTTTGAACTATGTAAAAAAAAAAAAAAAAAAAAAAAACCCATCTCTTTACATGTGACTTAAAAAATAGCGTGATGTTTTTTCTCACCCAATGAGATTTACTGAATTAGGTCTGAGTCGTTTAATTTTTACAAAAAGCTATTTATTTGTGTCTTTGCGTCAGATGGGGGTCCTAAAAGTCTGGGGAGACGTATTTACATCTGTGAGGTTTTACAGTGAAGTGTGGTTTTAAATGAATTAATATTTGGCTTAAGCATCACAAAAACTGTACATATTAATTTAGTGATTTTTAAATTATATATTTAGATTATGAATTATCTCTAAAGTTTAACTGTTATTGTATGGTGGATCTGCTGATCACCACATCAATAAACTCCTAGTCTTACAGGTGCTGGTCATAAAATTAGAATATCATGAAAAAGTAGATTGATTTCAGTAATTCCATTTAAAAAGTGAAACTTGTATATTATATTCATACATTACATACAAACTCATATATTTCAGATGTTTATTTTGTTTAATTTTGATGATTACAAATGACAACAAATGAAAATCTCAAATTCATCATATCAGAAAATTAGAATATTGTGAAAAGGTTCAAAATTGATGGCCCCTGGTGCCACACTCTAATCAGCTAATTAACTCAAACCACCTGCAAAAGCCTTTAAATGGTCTTTCAGTCTAGTTCTATAGGCTACACAATCATGGGGAAGACTGCTGACTTGACAGTTGTCCAAAAGACGACCATCGACACCTTGCACAAGGAGGGCAAGACACAAAAGGTCATCGCTAAAGAGGCTGGCTGTTCACAGAGCTCAGTGTCCAAGCACATTAATAGAGAGGCGAAGGGAAGGAAAAGATGTGGTCGAAAAAAGTGTACAAGCAAGAGAGATAACCGCACCCTGGAGAGGATTGTGAAACAAAACCCATTCAAAAATGTGGGGGAGATTCACAAAGAGTGGACTGCAGCTGGAGTGAGTGCTTCAAGAACCACCACACACAGACGTATGAAAGACATGGGTTTCTGCTGTCGCATTCCTTGTGTCAAGCCACTCTTGAACCACAGACAGCGTCAGAAGCGTCTTGCCTGGGCTAAAGAGAAACAGGACTGGACTGCTGGTGAGTGGTCCAAAGTCATGTTCTCTGATGAAAGTAAATTTTGCATTTCCTTTGGAAATCAAGGTCCCAGAGTCTGGAGGAAAAGAAGAGAGGCACTTCATCCACGTTGCTTGAAGTCCAGTGTAAAGTTTCCACAGTCAGTGATGGTTTGGGGTGCCATGTCATCTGCTTGTGTTGGTCCATTGTGTTTTCTGAGGTCCAGGGTCAACGCAGCCACATACCAGGAAGTTTTAGAGCACTTCATGCTTCCTGCAGCTGACCAACTTTTTGGAGATGCAGATTTCATTTTCCAACAGGACTTGGCACCTGCACACAGTGCCAAAGCTACCAGTACCTGGTTGAAGGACCATGGTATCCCTGTTCTTAATTGGCCAGCAAACTCTCCTGACCTTAACCCCATAGAAAATCTATGGGGTATTGTGAAGAAGAAGATGCAATACACCAGACCCAACAATTCAGAAGAGCTAAAAGCCACTATTAAAGCAACCTGGGCTATCATAACACCTGAGCAGTGCCACAGACTGATCGACTCCATGCCACGCCGCATTGCTGCAGTAATACAGGCCAAAGGAGGCCCAACTAAATACTGAGTGCTGTACATGCTCATACTTTTCATGTTCATACTTTTCAGTTGGCCAACATTTCTATAAATCCTTTGTTTTTATTGGTCTTCAGTAATATTCTAATTTTCTGATATGATGAATTTGAGATTTTCATTTGTTGTCATTTGTAATCATCAAAATTAAACAAAATAAACATCTGAAATATATGAGTTTGTATGTAATGTATGAATATAATATACAAGTTTCACTTTTTAAATGGAATTACTGAAATCAATCTACTTTTTCATGATATTCTAATTTTATGACCAGCACCTGTATACTAAGGTCCTTGTCAGTCTACCAGCGCATAATATGTGTTTTAAGGTCCTGTGGATTACAGGGTGGGGTCTCTATAGTTCTGACATAAACCCCTCAGCTGTTGGTTCAGATTAGGATTTCTGGAATTAGGAGGCCAGACTAACTGCTTGGATTTCTCTGCATGGGTGCTGAGGTGTTTGTAAACCTTTTTTTTTAATTATTTTTATGTTTTTATATTTTCCAATAATGTGTTTAATTGTAGCACTACATGAAGATGCACGCAGAAAAAAAACACAAGTGCTCCAAATGCAACAATGGCTACAGCACAGAGTGGGACCTAAAGAGGCACGTTGAAGACTGTGGGAAGACCTACCAGTGTACCTGTGGCTGCCCCTATGCTAGCAGAGCCGCTCTGCTGTCTCATATCTACAGGACGGGTCATGAAATCCCTTCAGAACACAGGCATGTAAACATTTAGAATGAATGGGACATTATTAAACTACCCATATTATTATTATTCAATTGATTTTTGTCTGTCTTGTCTTTCTTTTACAGAGTTCCTCCTGTAAAGAAGCGAAAAATGGAGAAACTTTTAAATGTTTCTGAAAAAGTTGAGGTTTGTGACTCAACTGCTCAAAAGACGCCTGATACTAAAGAAGTGGCAGAGATGGCGCTCCCTGCTGATTCCGCTGTGTACATCCTAGATCCAGTGAGCCAGAACTGTAATCCCCACAGGGGTCTTCAGAAGTTGCTCCTCCCGAAACCCAAGATGACTTTAGTCAGCGTTCCAATTATGCAGCTGGCCCATCTGCCTGTCCTCCTTCCATCAACAGAAAGCGGTGCTCTGAGGTCTGTAGTGCTTGCCGTTGATAACCAAGGCTCTGTGGGAACCCTTCAGCTTCTGCCACAAACCCCAGGAACAGTCCTATCCCAACTCGATGTAAAAAGTTTTGCTTTAAAGGATTGCCTTCCTTCTTCACGTTCTAGCCAAGACCCAATCAGCACAGGGGTTCAGGTCAATCTGGACCCTACAAATAAAGACGACTCGGCAAGCAGCATGACAGGGCAGCGAGGAAGAGGCGTCTCTACCAACATCCAGACAGACAGGTCCTATTTGTCCAAAATGGCTCCAGTGGCAGGAATTGGAGAGGGAATTGGACTCTGTTCTGTGAGTGAGTCCTCCGTGTCATCCTGCTCTCAAACAGACATCAGTGTGAGCGCCCAAGTCCTCTTGCCAGTTAGTGTTGAAACTCAAACATTTGTTTCAAGAGCCAAACCCACATCATCCGTTGGAGCTCAGACAGACAGTCAGTGCTTCAGCCAAATTGCTTCCTCCTGTTCATCTGTGCTGCCGTACAAAACGAAGCAGACACAGACATGTTTCATAATGCCACAGTTGGAGGAGAAAGCTCAGAATCAGGCTGTTATGTGCTCTGATCTATTTGAGAATGACTCTCTCAGCGTTTCTACCCAAACATGCACAGAGATAAATGAAACCCTTAATGCTGAAGGAGGTTGTCTATATGCGGACCCAAAGTCAGTGGTTGGTATGTGTTTTGGAGTGCAAACACATGATCTTAATGCAAGTAATGTGGCGGACAATCAGACCCAAACTATAACTCTTTTAAATGACCTGGAAAACATTCTGTCTGGTCACCAGGACCTCGCAGAGGCCTCTGCTGGCTGTGGCTCAGGCCCAGGCTCAGTTCCGGAGCAGCACAATGGTATAGACTTTGACTTTGAGGAGTTTCTCAATGCTGTGCACATCCAGACACAGACGGAGGAGAGTGAACTTGGTGTCCTGGGTGGCGATACACCTCTGGAATCTTTGGATATTCAGACTCAGACAGATTTCCTCCTCATGGATGAACTTGACCAAAGCGAGGGACAGAATCGATCCCAAGCCAGCGACCTTGAGCTATTTGACACCCAAACTCAGACTGATCTCAATTTCCTGCTAAGCTCTGGAAGCAGCATTCCCCTGAGCAACATCTTACGGCATTCAAGTTTTTCTATAAGCACAGAGTCCTCAGATACTGAAACACAGACAGACCCCCCCTCTTTTGCAGCAGGTCTGTCCTCGCAGACCCAAACAGCTCCGGGCGAGCATGGAAGGATGCTGAACAGCACAGAAACCCAGACCGTGACCAGTCAGGCGGAGAGCCTTGGACACCTTTTCCTGACCAGCAATGAAACACAGACTGTAATGGATGACTTCCTGTCAGCTGACCTGGCATGGAACATGGAGTCACACTTCAGCTCCGTGGAAACCCAAACATGCGAGGAACTTTGTGCTCTTTTTCAGCACTCTGACAAACCAAACAGCTGAAAAGCCTCCTAGTGAGGATTGCCATGAGCCTTTTGCAGAACAGGGTTCTGATATATGCCGCTTTCTTCAAGGAGAATGAGTCCATGTTGTTCTAGTAGCCATTTGACCATTCCAGAGGGGCAGTCACATTCAGAGCGTTTCCAGGTTTATATACCCAGGGCAGGGTTTCTACAGTTACAAAGTTCAGGCTTTGTTGGAGCATTTTATGGGTCTTGAGAAGATGGAAAGAAGGAAAGTGATTACTGAAAAAAGTTTCATTTTCCTGACTTTAGACCTTAATTCTCTCAAGGTTAAAAATTGAATCTTACTAAATACATTCTGTGTGGATATTTTGTTTTTCTTTTGCATATATTTATGTTAAAAGGACATTTTGTCTTTGATTTGCCACAAAGGACCTCAAGTTTTTTGCATACTGACTGAGGCAGTAATAGAAATATCATAAAAGGAGCCATTTTACTCCCCTTTAACTTTGGATAGCTTACAATTCATATTTAAATCCATAAATACACAATTTTGAAAAATTGAAGCAGTTTAAACAGCATTTTAGTTTTGTTTTGGGTTTTTTTCAGTGTGTTGAAAAACATTTCTATTAGTAGTCCAGGGTGCATGTTTTTCTTCTCAAATATTGAGAAAGTTATAAAAACAAAAACAGTCAGGAGATTTGAGTCTGGAAAAGAAAAGTGTGTTTGTTTGTCTATAAAATATAAGTAGGAACCCTGCTGACAGCTTTGTTGCACTTTATTAGCTCAGAAGGCATGATTGGTTAGCTCTTGTGCCAGTTTACATATATTTTTTGTACACATAGTATGTTGTGTGCGTTTTCCTCTAAAGTGCTTTGTATTATTTCAGTAGTTTATGACATTTGCTCTTAATTTACAGTTTCCATGTTAAACTAACAGGTATTAAAGCCTCTTGAACAATCGGCATCCTAACAGTGCAGGATGTCTTAATGCACACTTTGTTTACATATAAAAAGCGCATGAAACCTTTACAAGGTTGGCTACAGGAAATGGCTGTGTCTGCAGTTGTGCATCTGATGGCTGCCCTTCTTTAAGTTACTGTTTGCCTTAGAGAATTAAAATCTCTACTTCATACACTTAGCGTTTAAAGTTTGAGAGATGTGACCAATTATTTAGTTTTCTTAACACTAAGCCTACCACAGTACAACAGTTCATCGCTCTAAGCAGCTAAAAGACGTCTAAAATAAAACGCGTTCAGCTGTAGCACAAGTTGAAATAAGTAATAAGTCTTGTGAGCTCTAGCACACTTTTTATTGAGATGTAATTGATGTTTAATGTTGTGTGGAAACAAAACTTGTCTTTTTTATTGTTTTTTTCGTAGGTAAGCACTCCCAGTCATTTAGTCTCTGACTTATTCATTAGCTGGATGTAAGTTTATACAGTAGCAGCACTGTGCTGAGGAGATCCTGTATTGTAAATGTGCAGTAAACAGTGAGTTAAAGCTAAGATTAACAGCTTGCTTTGTGTTTACCATCTGGTAGTGACTGAAAAGAAAATCTTTGGCGTCACTTTGTATTTTAGCTTCTTTTCCAAAAGGGTCCACGTATAGCTTTTGTTTTAATACCGTTTAACTTATTTATCTAAAGGCAGAATATATCATTTTCTAAAAAGAACAAAAGGTTATAGGCCTTGTTTGTTTCTGTCTGTGCCTTAACTTTATTAACTTGGTTATGTTTGATATAAGTTGCTGCTTTAAGATAAAATATATTCGAATCCATCTGCATTCCTTTGGTCCTTGCGTTGCATGTTTAATCCATTGAGTAGAAATGTTATCAATAGGGTTGCATGATGTACCAAATCAGTTCCTTTTGGATTTGAGGATTGTCATATGAAATGATTCCTGTTCGTCATTAATGAAAACGTTCCATCTCGTTATTTTATGTATGCGGGGGGGTTCAAGTTAAAAAAAAAAATCAGAAAGTGAAGAATGTATAGAAAATAGCCCAGTGTCTAACTGTTCCACACTTTTTTTTTTCACAATGTTCTTAATGTTTGAAGATTCCCTGTCTTAAAAGTTTTATTGGAACATTATAAATTGAACTATTTATTGCTTTATATTGACTTAAGAAAACACAGCATTGCCTTGATGATGTTTAAGCTTTGTTGGTCTTTATTGTTAACAGTGTTTTCTCTTTGAAGGAGTGCATGCACAGTTTGTTTCGAATAATTCTGTTTCAGTTGCCTCAATTTATAGTTATCCGTTGCCTTAGTTATGTGTTGAAGCTACACTTCAGTTGTCAATAAATATTCAAAGGACATCTGTCTATTTTTGCCTTAAAGCATGCCCTTAAAACCTTTGTATGTGATTTGTATGCACAATTAAAAAAAGGAGCAATATAAACATAAGTTAGATATCCGGCAGCATTTTGCATAAAAATTGAGAAATATTTCCGATGTTAAAATATGAAGATACTCCAGGTGAATCCTGTTTAATCTGACTTTCAGATATTGTGTTGGCAACTTAAAAAGTCAAACTAATAGATTTATCAGTGGAGTGTTAGCCTAGGGAGTAAGGGTAGTGCACTTGTGAGAAGGTTCCAAGTACCCGGTTCGATCTCCTCCTGTGGCGCCACACAATGGCAGCCCACTGCTCCCCACGGGGATGGGTTAAATGCAGAGGTACATTTCTCAAATGCGAGTTAAAGTTCAATAAAAACAAAAACGCAGTGATAGATCTCCAACATCCCTGTTCATTTTAATGGCACCTGATAAAAGCACAATGATCTGTTTTTCTTAGAAACTGGGAATATTAGAAAAAGACTAAAGATTTTAATGCACGGTCTATACACACATTGGTGGGGGAAATGGCTGGTTGACAGTTGAGAAGAAGCCAAGGGAAGAGTAAACTACAAATAAATGCTAAACAAGATAACTTTGAAGAGGACCATAACCAAGCATATATATATATATATATATATATATATATATATATAGTTCAGTGGAAGATTGGTCTCCATTATAGCAAAGCACAGAAGGCACAGATTCTGAAAGCATAAAATCTTACTGAAAAACACCTTTTGCATTCATTGTTTTTAGCTACTCCTGAACCAGAGACTATGGAAGCTTTTCTTATGGGCTTAAAAGCATTGATTGTTACATAATATGCATTGCTGTTTTAATAATGCAATCTTACATTTTAATTGTAAACCAAGGCCCCAGAGTCTGAAGGAGGAGTGAAGGGAATCATAAACCAAGCAGTTTGAGGACCTGTGTGAATTTTCCCACTTATTGCTAATTTTACAGCTATGTTCTCTGCTGGTCTTGGTCCACATGGTCCTCACTACAGGATATTTTAGAGCACCCAGTCATCCCTCTGCTGTCAGATATTAAGCTTAAGGTACCAATACCTGGTTTAATGACCACGGGATCCCATCATTAAATAACCACTAAACCCTATCTTATAAACACTCTATGGAGTGGTTATAAGAGGCAAAATCAATACAGATGAGCTGAAGCTCTCTTTACATCTCTGCAGAGCCACAGGCTTTACACAGCCCTGCCAAGCTGCATACATCTAAGATAATTATTCAAAAGGAACAAAGAAAAGTGCATTTACTATATATATTGACGAAATTTCCAGTGTGCAGAAAGGTTTGTATTAAAGTGCATTTTATTGGAATATATAAACTTAATAGAAAACTGAAATATTTACATTTTCAACTAAATATTTATACTTTTCTTTACTACCTAGCTGACATTAGGGGACCAGTATATATTTAAGGTTTGGATTTTAGCATAATGTTGAGATAAGATTAAGAGCTAGATGAGCTGAACTTCACTCACTATGGGGATGTACAATGAAAGCTCTGATACTAAAACTGATAAAAGTTTAAGAAGGCGCAGATTCCCAATAAAGAATCTTGCTACACTTTTTTATTAGCTCTCTGTGCATTGTTGCTAAGTAACAAGAAGAGCTGCTTAAACACTTATAGAAAGAGTCTAGAAGAAAAGAAAGCTGGTAAAAAGGGTTGAATGTGAAAATTTACATTTTAAAAAACCCTTTTTTTTTACTATTTTTTCTTAAAAATAAGTTATTTTTAAGGTTTTTAATAACGTAAGACTTCTGTAAAACCATTCACATCAAGGCATTCAGTTACCAGGGGGTTCCTAAAAGGATCTTTTTCAAGATCTGGTGGTTAGCTTGGAGGATATGTTTATATCTTTTATTTATTCTATTATGTTGTTTTAAAGCTGGTTAGCACATTTCTGTCTCTCAGATATGTTGTTTTGATTGAAAAGTTATTAAATATAAGAAAGGAGACATTTCCAAAAAGTCAAATAGTAAACTTGTATGAGGAAAATACTTAAGGAACCAGTGATGGGACATCACTGTTGCGTTATAGATTTCTGGCAGTGACACATAAAGCAGCATAATAATGTGCACACACCTCCGTATTTGCACATAGACATGAAAAAAGAAGCGCTATGAGAACGTGACTCTGCGCCTTTATGACTGCCATCAGCTAACAGAGGCAGGTGAACACAGTGTTGCCAATTCAGTGACTTTATTTCTATATTTAGCAACTTTTCAGACAGTAGCGACCACTTTTTGTATTGTCGGATGCTTTGCTGACAACACAGGCACACACAGCTCTGAGTTTAGTGTCTTTAGAGAGTAGTGAGTGTTGAGCCCCTCCCTCCTCCAAAACACAGCAGCTGTAGCCCATTTCTGCAATCAGAGGGAAAATAGTTACTCTCCTCTGTTTCCCCATTAATCATCATGAGCCACATGTGCCGAGCTTCAACTAATCCCCTTGAGTTAAAAAGTGGCATGTAAGTGTAATATTTTACTTATTTCCTTCTTTGAACCTGTTGCAATATAATAGATCCTCCCTACATTTAATTCATCCACAGTCTCACCCACTGTCTGCCTCTGCACTGCAACAAATCTAAGCAAGTACATTTTCTTAAATTAAGATTAATTCATTCATTAATTGAGCTAGGTAAGTGAGACACTTTGCCAATGGAGCAAGAAAATTTAGATTCAAAATAAGAAAAACAAATTAGTGTCTTATTTCAAGTGCATCCTATCTAATTATTCTATTTTAAGACTAAACATACCCATTCTATTGGCAAATCATCTAAATTAACCACACAATTAAAGGGTAAATACAATTATTCTGACTTTTTTAACTCATTAAAATAGGTTTTGCAGTATGTTAAGGCAGTTAAGAACAATTCTACTTAAAGAAGTTGAATTTGTTAATTTACTTTCAGTTCAGGATAAAACAATCTTCTGGAACACTACAAAATGTATTTGGAGTATTTTTAATTATATTGTCTTGCTAATGTCGACATACCTACAATATACAAAGGATGTGATTGTGTCATTATTCTTTTTAACATAATTTATTCTGATATTTGTACTATTTAGTCAAAGAAAACACAAATCTTTGTTATAAGTGGTCTTAGAGAAAAATTAGTGCAATAAATGCTATGTATCCGGGGTCAAATTTGTCATTCAAGGTTGGAGGCCTACTTTATATTGCAAAGAACCAGGCAGGTTATTTGGCATTTGTGGCTGGCAACACCCATTTGAAAAAAAGTCAGCCTCACTAAAATTTTAATTTAAATAGGAACACTAGTGCTCCTATTAAGAAAGCTAAGCATGCAGCCCAACATGCATGACCTATTCTATTGAGACATGTTTTTTTTAGATGCACACCTAATTCTTGGTGGCTTAAACTTTAGCACAAAAAATATTTCTTTATACCTTGGAATATTGTAAGACAATACATGTAGTGCAAAATATTTTCTCAGTTCATGTTTTCATTGACCTAAATGTCCAGTGGAGATCAGCTTATGTTCAGTTCCCAACACAAACTGGAGTAGCATCCCTCTACAGCATGACAAGGAGAAGCGCCAAAGTTGGTGACAATCCCTGCTTAGCTCAACAGATACCATGGTGGTATCCTACTGCACATAACACCTTAAGTCTGGGGTCGCCAGCCATGGTCTTCAAGATCTAATCTCCTACAGGTTTTACATCAGGGTTTCTTAACCGCTGTCGTCCATGTTTTAGATGTTTCAATGCCTTCACATATCTGACCTGAATGAAAAGGTGATCAACAGGCTTATGCAGTATTTAATGGCTGCCGAGGAGGTAATGCAATCATTTATATCAGGTGTGCTTGAGTAGAGCCACAGCTAAGGCCTGAGCCCACTTCACCTAAGCACTAACCCTTTTTTTGCACCTCCCTACAGAGTGTCCGCCACATTTAGGGCCGTCTTAAACCACAAAGTGGGTAGGGCGAGTGGATCATTTAGCTCTTAATTTACAAGTCTGAAACAGTGCAGGCTCTCTGGAACTTAGCAGCGGGTGTAAAGGCGACCTGGAAGAAGCACCTGCATTCAAATGTAAGTTCTGCTGGTTTGTTGCATCATCGCACTGACAGAAAATCCCAAGTTAGGAGGGGGAAAAAAGACGTCATTGATCCCCAAAAGGGAAGTTCCTCTTTGAAATAGTTTTATTTGACTGTATAAACTTATTTTGAGAAATGGACAAATGTTGGATGTCATGTCAATCTGCTCCGCAGAGTTACATCCATGCATGTGGGGAGTCACTGTGTTGCCATAGCAATGGAGGGAAAAGCAGTTGAAAAGCATCTACCGGTAACTCAATCAAGGTGCCCTCCACAGCTGTGAGAAGGACTTCATTGTGATTGACACTCAGTAGTTAAGGCATAGTGCTAAGTGGCGGTTTGGGACTGGGCCTATAACATGAAGTTGGCCCTGAGGACCAGGGTTAAGAAACCGAGCTGTGTCCGAACGTCCCCCTTAATATAGTGCACTGTATAGTGGTTACGTCATTTAAATTAGTGTCCGAACGTCTAGTGGATGAAAAAGTAGTGGACATGAAATTTCCCACAATGCACCTTGAAAAGTAGTGATCATCCATGGTCACTAGATGAGCAGATGCATCCTGTTATGCTTTGTGAGAGCTCTCCTCTCAAATCATCATGTGATTTCCTGTGGCGGTGAGAAAGAACAAAGATGGCACAGGCACCGTAAAGGATAGCCTTCTTAGATGAATCCCTGCTCCAACAGCTTAAATGAAAAGAATAGCTTGTTTCCAGGCCTTTGTCAAACCTGATGGCACGTTGAAGAGGTAATTCAGTCATTTCAATTAGCAGTGTCTTGGAGCTACTGCCGGACAGTAGATTTTGAGGACCAGGGTTGGAGACTCCTGCCTTAGGGAGTATGAAACATAATTTCAGTACATACAAATTGCACATTAACCGAGAAAAACACACTACTGTTTGTCTATAAAAAAAAAAAAACACACACATCAGCTAAGGATATTTAATTGACCGAATGTTATCAGTGATGACACGCATCAAAAAGCTCTAGAACATGCATTTCTTATCCTTATGTTAACAGGATCCTGGTGGTCACCAGGGTTTGCACCAGAGCAAGTGATTTGTTCTTCTCTATGAATAACTACTTGGATGAACTGTGTCATGTTTTAGGAAGTATAGGTAATTGCCTCATTATAGAAGTTCCAGTTGCAAAGTTCCAGATCCCTTGAAGCTTATGTTAGAGTTGCATTACTGCTCCATCAGGCTGGATGTGCTGCCTTCTTTAGAAGATGTTTGGTTGCCTCCCAATGGATTATTAGCCTTCTTTGGTGTTGCTTCTTTCTGGCTCTTCTGATTCATAATCATGCACCCCATAGGGGTGACTCTGGCCCAACCCTGAACCTGATGTGGAAATAAGTGAAAAATAGCAATAGTTTTATCTCAAGATATAAAACAAATAAAATAAATCAGGCTCCGCAGAAATAAAGCATAAAATTTTTTGAAATGCAAAAAGAAAACGTGTTGGACAATAAAGGATTTGGTACTATGAATGCTCTATAGTAAGGGTATTTGGTATTTTACTTTTTTTCTGTAACATCCTCCATTATGATCATTAACATCTAACGATAAACACTTCCAAACTGGTATGACTAATAGTTCAAAATATATGAATTTGTACATCTTGACGTAAAAATATCCATAATGTCTTGTCAGTAACTAAATTTATTTTTAAGATTTTTAAGATTAACTGAACAAGCTTTTACTATCATGTGTGCCTATTTAAAATTAGACAGATACAGATTTCTTTTTTTCCTTGGGGCTAAAGCAGATAGAGGAGAAAAATGCTGTACAATATTCTTGCTAGCAGAAAAAGGAAAAACTGGTAAATTCCTCCCCTTCAAACTTTGATTAGTGCACCTCTAATTTTTTTTTACCTTCAATTATTTGTTGTGGACTGTAGAAAATTCTCTTAATTATGGCTCATGGTTATTTTAAAACAAAACAATACCAGATAAAACATTTCTGAGGCTCTGAAATGAGGCTGTATTCTGAGTTGTCATAAAGGTATGGACTTTGCACTGAAGAATATGGATTGCTTTTTTTGCAAACTGTCAGATTTTTTTCACCAATCAGCCTAAACATTATTGTGTCTTGTCTAGTGCATCTGGAAGGGAACATGTCGGTAGCCAAAAAGCCAAAAGAGGATGGTTCGAAAAGTATAAAATGAGTTTGATGTGCCTACTTGGTTCCAGAATTCCCCAGATCAAATCCAAACTAATTTCAAGAGGTCAACCTACCTCACTGCTTACAGGATTGAAAGATGTACCAACTGCTGTAAATTCTCACATAAAGGACAAACAGCTCTGAATAACCTGCAGACAATTTTTTTTCCTTTTATGCCATATTTGAAAAGCAGAACAACAATTTGAAAGTGTGTAAAAAGCTTTGAAGCCACCAGTATACAGAGCAGCAAAAAAAGTACCCCCCCTTTACTTGCTGTTTATGCACTCTTAAATCTTCCTCATCAAACCAAACTTAATACGAAAGATAAATCTGTGTGAAAAAAGATCCATACAATAAATCCAATAATACAGATGTTTTAGTCCACTCAAAGTCTTGGGATTATTGTGTTTTTTTTTTGCACTGACTTCTTTTTCGACTACGTGCTGAACTGTAGTCGACCAAAATCCCGGTTGCTGCTCTGGCTGCATGGTGGAAAAAGATGGGTCTGATGTGCATTCGGCGGAGATGCCCTATACTTTCTTTGCCTGTAACAATGGCAGCTATATTTGCTGTGATCAGTGGGTAAAAAGTAGTTTGAACCTATTTTGAAGTGAAAGTCCACCTGAATACATCATCAGTGCAGTCAGTTCATCCAGATTACCATCCTGCCTTCAGATATTATTTCTGTCAGAGCAACTTAGACCCCCGAGTAATCCCCTTCAAGAGCAGCCTCTGGCCTGATCGCCTTCTTGCAGTTTGCCACGGCAGAGGCGACCAGCTGGTAGGTAGTCTGATAAACCAGACTGAGATTAAATGTGTAATTTAGTCTGGCCCCGATGAATAAGACATCGGAAGATTGTTGATGAGAACAACCCGTTGTTTTTCAAACCGCTGTCAGTGCCTATTAGCCAACGCTCTGACCAATGAGCGCAACTGACTGTGACGTAAGCGCGACAGAAAGCTGGTGGTGGAGTGTAAACAAACAGCCTGTTAGTAAAACAGAAAATACGTCCTTCTTAAAAATTAATGAGCTTAGAGCCTCTTTCTGCTCACCTTTCAAGGAAAACCCCAAGTCTAATCCTTCCAAAACTGATTGTAAAGCTGAGTCAAACGAGAACTGTTTAATAGTTGTTACCATCTTCCTCGTTGTGCTTTCTCCAGTGTCGCACAGCTTTGTCGTCCCGCCCGCTTTGCATCCAGCCATTCAAAACACATTTCCGCGTTGTAATTGGCCCGCCAGTTCTAGGGCCTGCGGCATTGATCGAGGCTAGACCACTCACAGGCAAAAACTATTTTGGCCGCTGGCGGGTGGGGCTAGTTTACTAGGCTAGCTGGAAGGCATTTTTCATGTACGTAATCCAAACTGCAGGCACCAGGGTAATAAAAGCGAACATGGTTTGCAGGCAGATTTCGGCATTTTAAGTTAATTTAGGCATTAATAAACTGTTTCAGAGAAGTGATCATAGCGCCCTGCATCATCAGGGCTGCTCCTGCTGCTCTTCATGTGTTTTAAAGAGGTGGTTTTGAGGGGTGGTCTGAAGGGAGAGGCATGGTTGTGTATGTTTAAAAAATATAGCTTGTTGGAACAGTTTTTCCCAAGATCTCCTACAGCACCTTTAAGGGTAAATTCCAGATGGACCATTATGGCAGTTTGTTGTTGTTTTTCCCCACTATCACCTTTACTTTGACTTCTGGAATAAGGATTTTAGTTTTTTTTAGAAAGCAAGGCAGGAGAGGTTCACAGCTGTTACTTCTATTTGTGAATAATGGATGTTGTGATGGTTTGCTTGAGTTCAAAAGCCTTAAAAAAAGTCTTTGAACAGTCCAATATTCAATAAATCAGAAGAAAAGAGACTGCATCACTTACAGCATGTTCCTATTCAGAGTAACAATGCCACTCATAGGGTTGCACATCTCTCATGTAGCTCTCCTCACTTATATCAAGCAGAGCTTCAACACATTTCCTCCTTAGTGTCTAAAGCTCAGACACCCTATCGTTTCTGTTCATCGCTTCCTGACAATCTTGTTTCGTCTCAAAGTTATTAGCTTGAGGTGGATCCTAGGAGATGATATAAAATAATGATCAAATAGTTCCTTAAGCTTAGATCACACAAAATAAAATTCACAAAGTTCTCTCTTACCCTAAAAAAAAACAAAATCTGCTTTACAAGTTGAATAGGTCCTGTACTAACCTGCCAGAACTCCTCGCAGTTGTAAATGCCTTCAGAGGGCAGTGGTGAGGTCGTCATGGTAACAGGGAAGGCGTGACGTTAAGAGTATGGGAGGGCTGCTTCCGGCGCAGGAAACATTCAATTCAATTCAGTTTATTTATATAGCGCCTATTCACAACACAAGTCATCTCAAGGCACTTTACAGTTCAAAGTTTTCTATCTAAGGAAAACCAGTTGATTGCATCGACTCATTGACTCAAATGCAATCCCTCACACTAAGCATGCTTGTAGCGACAGTGGAGAGGAAAAACTCCCTTTTAACAGGAAGAAACCTCCAGCAGAACCAGGCTCAGTGTGAGCGGCCATCTGCCGAGGCCGACTGGGGTTCAAGGAGACAGAAGCAGAGATACAAAAAGCAGCTGCAAAAGGCGGCCCCGTCCAGGAAACACACAGCCAGGCTGACGAGCACCGAGCCAGCTCCCATGCCAGAGGACGAAGAGAGCACATCCAGCCAGTCACGGTCAGAGAAACAGGACTACACTGGAAAACAGGCCGATTTCCAGCATCTATAAACAAGGGTGTTGATGGAAGCAGCACAGCTGATGTTTCTCTCCAGGATGGCGTCACAGCCAAACAGGAACAGACAAGGCAAAGCTACTCTGAGAAAAAGCAGACAGAGCATAATGTTAGAGATTGAACTAACAGATTCTGCAGAATAGGAGAATAGAGAGAGAATGAAGCAGAATGATGAAATGGGGGTCCCTATGTCCTCCAGGAGTCTAAACCTATAGCAGCATAACTATGGAGATAGCTTGGGATAACCTGAGCCACTCTAACTATAAAAGGAAAGTTTTAAGCCTAGCCTTAAAGTAGACAGGGTGTCTGCCTCACGGACTACTATTCTTAATGCTACCTTAGCATTAAGAATAAAATATAGGCCTATGTGAAGCTTCGTGAAAGTTTGGCATAATAAAGTATATAGTGTAAATAGTCTGGAATGCACAGTGCTTTGCTTATGTGAAACATATAAATTATTATTTTTATCATCTTTATTTTCTCTTTTTTAATTTTCCAGGGGGCGGATTATATCATGTGAAAGTAAAAAAAAAGGAAGTTAATTTTATTGCTTCAGAAGTGGGGAAAGCATTTTCGGTGAGATGAAACGTGAACTTCTGCACGTAGCCTGGTGACGTCAGTACGTCCCCCATGCCCTGCAACTACGCACGAGATGAACCCTTACATTTTCTTTTCTCTTTTTTCACACCCTATCCTTTTCTGTTTTGACGGAGCAGAAACTGAATGTAAATTCCTTTCTACGTAGCTGCTCCCAGATGCAGAACAACAAACTATCGGTTAATTGGTCCAGAGCTGAGGGGAGTCATCCTCTGACGCAACAGGAGCGCCTATCCGCGAGGGGGACACTACCACCTGAGCCCTTCATGTCTTAACTCGCAGGCTGTATTTCATCACGAGCAGCGCGGTTGTGCAGTGCAGGTCGCCCTGGCGCTGAAGCAAAGCCCGGGTGTGTGCGCGTGCGTCCCAGCCGCTGCAATGCTGCCTCCCAAGAACTGCCTGCCGAGGAACTACAGCTGCATCGCCGGGCTCTTCGGAAGCCTGACCGCGGCCAACCCGAGGCTCGAGGATGGGGAAGACTACGAACTGATGAACGGATCGTGTGAACCCATGGAGAGCCCGGTGGTGGACGAGAGACCGCGGGGCAGGGAGATTTTCCTGAAGACCCCGCAGAGCCCCAATCTGCGCCGGAGGTGCAAATCGCTCCCCACGCCCACGGAGAGGGCAAAATTGGAGATCGCGCGCAGCAGGAGCCCGAGCAGTCAAAAAAAGGTCCGCTTCGCTGATTCCCTGGGTTTGGAGCTCATTTCCGTGAAGCACTTCGACGATGCGGACGAGCCGGTGGTACCAGAGCGCATTTTGGCCAAACTACCCAAGGGGACGCTCCATAACCTGGACACAAAGTTCCCCCGGGATCCTTCGCACACCGTGTGTATGGATCTCCAGTTCACAAACCCAGGCACGTTACCCGGGTTCGAGCAGAAGGTCCGAGAGGTGAAGGTTCTGCTGGAGAGCGTTCAAACGGATGACTTCACCCTCTCTGGCTTCGTTCGCGTCCTAAACCTGGCCTTCGAGAAGAGCGTCTCTCTGCGCTATTCCCTAAACAACTGGATCACCTTCATGGAGAGCTTGGCCACCTACGTCCCAGACTCGAGCGACGGCGTCACCGACAAGTTCAGCTTCAAGATCGTCATGCCCGCATACCTGGATAACGGCGGAACCTTGCAGTTCGCTATTAAATACTGTGTCGGCGGGCAGGAATTCTGGGACAATAACAACGGGAACAACTACAAGGTGCGCCGCCACCGGTTGAAGATGTCTCCGCCGCGGGAATGGGAAAACGGTTGGATCCACTTCATTTGAGGGCCGATCAGTGCGTAATCTGCGCGTAATGATGCCCGGGTAGACCTTCACTGTAAGACTGTAGCCTGTTAAATATCTGGCTTCGTGTTTTTTTTTTTTTTCTTTTTCCTGTCGTGACTCAAATCTTTTTGACAGAAAATGATCAGCCGGACAGAGTCCCAGCAGGAGGGAGGAGATGCGATCTGTTTTTTTCCTCTTATTTCTTTTTCCATTCTGGGCTCGGTGAAGCTTGGTGCCATTTGGGAGGCCCTGCTCATATTCTTTAATATGCCACGGAAAAAACAGCTTCAGGCTTTACTTCTCACTTCAGAAGAGGTTGTTGTGACATTACTATCGCTTGTGCGTCTTGTTTAGCATGTGTATTGATTCAGTGGTCAACGGGACGGGTTAAAGCTTATCTGGGCACACATCTGCTGAAACAGGAGATGTAAATGAAAATTAAATGAAATAGATTATATAAAAAGATAATATATAAATGGTTATTTTATGTATGACATAGGTATATCATTTCTAATAAGATATTGAAAATGCCTTACTGTATTTAAAATGTTCACATGTTATTTATTTGTGCAATATTCTCAACTTTTGGGAAATAAAAATAAACTATCAGACATTAACCGAGAGGTGTAGCAAACTCAGCATTTTTATGTGGGCTCTGTATAGATCTATCCCAGGACCCTACACTGAAAAAAATAATGCAACCATTTCTGGCATTTACTTCATCATATTTAGTTACTTTAACACAATTTTTTTATGTCCTACCCTGTAAATGCCAGAAATTGTTGCATTATTTTTTTCAGTGTACCTTCAGTTTTGTGGGAGCAAAAATGGCACCAGTTTATTGCTATTATAATAAATAACAATATTTATTTTAATATTCGAAGTTAGCTCTAAGTGGGCATTCTTGCCTACTTCTAACCCAGTTTTGCAAAACAAGTTGGATATGATATGAATATCACTGAAAAAAAAGAATGTAACCGTCTTTTGCATTTAATCATATTTAGTTACTTTAACACAATTGTTTTATGTCCTACCCTGCTAACATGAAACAGTTGTGTTAAAGTAACTAAATATGATTAAGTAAATGCAAAAAAATTGGTTGCATTCTTTTTTTTTCAGCGAAGGATTGAAATACAGACTAAAAATAATGTCAAAATGTAATAACACAGTTAGGACCCATGTGGGTGCATGAAACCTTTGGACAATCCAATTTTTGGGGCCATTATTCAACCAATTTCCTATTTATATGGTTCCCACACAAGTGCTGGTTGGAAAGAGGAGACCCTTGGTTAGATTATGCCTTTACATTATCAAAAGTGCAGCATTTAATTACTATTCTTTAAAACTCGTGAAAAAAAACAGAGTAAGTATTTTAATCCTACATAAATGGGGTTATGTTTATACAGAGAAAGGGAACCACTTCTTACATGCTCTCTTTTAATTTATTGTTTTCACAGAATGAACTCCAATATGATTTTGTTCTTATACAGAAAATATATGCAGATGCTGTTTGAACAGTTAAGTTTACCTCACTTTATGTACTTTGTTTAGGTTAACGGTGATAAAGAACAAATGCTATTTATAGTAATTATTTTTGCATTCAAATATTCACAGATGAAAATATTATAGATTCTTGATTGCACTGTTTGTGTTTTTCCACAAACCAGTTCTGTCTGTATACAAAGTAGCTGCTACAGATGACTGCTTTACACAGTTTATGCTGCTGTTAAGGTACTCAATAGTTAACATTTTGACAGAAAAATGTTTTTAAATTTCATAGGAATGACCAAATGCTACACATTATTTTTCTGCAGTCTGTCTCTCTCTGTATTTCTTTTTTCCTACTTTAGTGGCTGAATGCTCATATTTATACAAGCTCTTTCAAATGTGAAAGTTATATTTTAATTTTAATATGTCTATCTAAATCTATCTCACTTGGTTCACTGTGTTGTGTAAGCACTCTGTTTGTGGAGGGAAAAAACGTATAAATTAGCTTGAATCCAGATACCCACTTTTCTCTTTCCTCTATTGATAAAAGTTGGAACAACAGGAAGCAGAGGAGGAACAGGCACTTAAAAAGCTGCTTTCAATTCCAATCCTCTGGGTGTAGCCCGGACATCACCTTAGCGTTTTTGTTTACATCTCCATAGCCCCAGAGAAAAGCTTTGCACTGGAAAATCCTGCAGTATGGAAGCTATTGCTGTAACCACATAAGCTTGATTTTTGGAGCGGTTTTCAACTATCATTGATCTCTGGTGTTTGTCGACAACTCTGACAATTATCAGCACCAGAAGCTTTGGGTCAATAGTTGGTTTTGACGAGATGTATGCAAGACTTCCTTGCGTCATATTTCCTGCCGCACACCTTTCCTCTTTGGACATAGCTGCATTTCTCACAGCTTCCTTGAATTATTGTGAATATCAAAGGTCTAGTCATGCAAGATTCCAATATATATTGTTAAAGAATTGGCTATTGTACATGTTCATGTGTCTGTAGACATATTTGGTGTAGTGCAATAGAAGATAGCATTCATTTTCAAATGAAACAGATAGCAAAAGACACATCAGTACCAAAAATATCCCTGCCAACAAGCAGGAGATTATTTTATTGAAGATTCCACCACCACCTGCTCTGATTTTCTACGTTAGAAAAATCTGGTGTGGTTGTTTAGCCTGAATGACTTATCACATTTTCTTCACACTTCTTATTAAACAAAAATAAACATGTAAAATTCAGTTTTATCTTGGTGTTATTGTTAGTGCTGCATCCCTGTCATGAAGTCAACAAAGGGCCTGTGGTCGTAATAGACTTCCACCTGTGTGTTAATGTAATAATTTGTATCAGAACATGCAGATCATGTTAATATGTAATTGTGTCAGTAGTTCACCCTGAATGTCTTCCTATTAGTGTTCTGTGTTGTGTGTACTTTGAAGCTTTTGAAACCCTAAATGGTGTAAATCAGAGATGTCAGAATCCAGTCTTCCAGGGCCGGTGTCATGCACCTTTTTAGATGCATCTGTTTCAACACACCTGAATCAGCTTATTTGCATTCTTTCCAGGATTTTAGAGAACTTGAATTCAAGAGATCCATATGGTTTAGGTGTGATGGAGCAGGGAGATATCTGAAAGTTGCAGCATGTCAGCCCTCAAGGACTTCAGCCTGCATCCCTGGTGGAAATAGTTCAGTAATTTGATGCTGCAAAATCATAAGAGGTTCTCGGAGTCAATTTACGTAAAGCTCATTATAGAGATTCAACATGTTTATCATGTTTAGACTTGCAGTAATTTTTGATATTGGACGGAGTTACCAGATTTTTCCATTGTGTGAGTAACGTAACTAAAGAGGAGTTGTGTTCACATTGTTTGGGTGCACACTGCTCACAAATGAGAGATCTTTATAAGTGAAAGTGATGCAAGTGAGGACTGATTGTAGAACGTACTGGGGTAACTTTTGACAGACGTTAGGGACGTATCAAAGGCTAAATCGGATGCTTTTTGGTGTTTGAAAGCTATTTGCATGAATGACTTATGATTGTACCTGATATTAAGCAGTCAAAGCAAGTCTAATGTAAAACAAGGAAGTAAAGGGGGGTGTTTTTGTCTCCTTGGAAATGTTTGGGTCATTGTACCGCTCTTGTCTCTCGGTAGTTGTAATGTATTATGATTTCATGACACTGTTTTTAGTTTTCTAATTCTCTACTTGATTTTTTTATAAACTAATTTAATATAATTTAACATGTTGGTGAATTATGTCCTTTTTTTTCCTGTAAAATTTCTCCATGTTGCACGAAATACTGAAACATGCCATTATGTTTACGTTTAGCTTGTAATGTAACTCTATATTTTGTTAAATCCAAGCTCAATAAAAGCTTTTATGATGAAATCTAAGATTTTTTTACTTCTTAAACCCACATTTAGCAGGGTAAAAATATTGCATAGGTTCTATTAAGAGGCAGTATTCGCTAGTGGTCTCAGTAGTAGGTCAGTCGGGCATACTATTTTTATAGACCTGCTGTTTGCCGCCATTCTTGAAGCAAATCTCTGCAGAGGGCTGCAGCCGCCATTGTTAGCCTGCCTGAGGACATGTCCTTGAATTGATTTCTGTCCTGACACCGCTGCTCTGTTTACAGAAAGGGGGATTGAATCAAGAGCAAAGCAAGACTGGGACAATAAAAGGAGGACACTAAAGAAAATTGCCTGTGTGTTACATTTTATAAAAAAAAAAAAGGTACCTTAGTAGATAAATACTAGTAGTGCAGCTTTATCCTACAGAACATTAATGAGATTCGTCTTTTTCTTTAGCTAATTTCCTTTCAAAACTTTGAAAGGCTTTATTTACAAAATAGCACAGTGACAAAATGGAATGTTTCAGTTTAAAAGTACAGAAGTACAAGGTTCCCTATTTGTTTTTCTACAAACCTGTTCCCATGCATCAACACAATTTCCTATGTTTCCTTTCTTCATATTCATCCTTTTTAATTCAGTCATGCACAACTGAACACTTCGAGGTAAACATGGGGTTCACTTTCTTAGCCAAGGGCATGTGACATGTGGATGGATGGAAATTAAAGCGCTGACCTTGCAGTTGAAGAGCTGCTGCTGCTCTATGTAATGAACATGACCATAATGGGTACTATATTAAGTATCCATGCATTTAATACCCACATACAGTCATGCATGCAGCTTTTTCCTGTCCTGCTTTCAAAGCAAGGTGTTTACTAAATCCCATTATTTTCAACACCACCAGTAGACTTTCATTGTGGAAACCCGATGCAATGAATAGCTTGAACTATAATTTGCATATCACTATTATTATAAATTTGGATATTAAAATTCCTAAGAATTAGGACAATTAGCCTTAATGATCCATTCCAGATCCAAAAACTCATTAAATATTTTCATTTGTACTAGTTGTAATCATTATGGCTTATAGCTGTTAGGAATACAAAATATAGCTTCTCATAAAATACAAGACAGCCGTCTTGACAGTTGACACAGGGAAGGTAAGCCACGAAAGCCTATTTCTAAAGAAGTTGCTTGTTCACACAAACTACAGTATATAAGCAGAGGAGGGAAGAAAAGACAGAAAATACACTCAGATAAGATCACTACCATCACTACCTCCTATATTTTTATGCAATTTAAAGTAGTTATCCCAAATATTACCTAAAATGAGTTCCTTAAAAAGGCATTTATGGTACTTTATGGCACTGTTGTATCTAAATTGAATTTGCAAAAATCCTGTTTTGATAAGAAAAAACAAGTGCTCACATTAACAAAAC